TAGTGGAATGTAGTGTAGTGTAATGTAGTGTAGTGGAGTGTAGTGTAGTGTAGTGTAGTGGAATGTAGTGAAGGTGTAGTTGTAGTTGTAGTGTATTGGAATGTAGTGTGGTGTAGTGGCGGTTGTAATTGAAAATGCCACAAGCCCTCGCCCTCACGTTCTGCTCACTTTTGGGTGCACCATCCTTTGCGCCTGCCATGCGAGACGACATCTGAACGTCCAAAAGTGGTCCGAACCCCTGGTGTTTTTAACATGTTGACTTCGAATGTGCTTCGCGCATCTTCGCACGACAACGGCGTGCACTTTTGCGACGTCTGAACGTTCAAAAGTGGTCCGAGCCCATAGTGTTTTTACCATTTTGTCTTCGAAATGTGCCTCGCGCCGCAACGGCGTGCGCTTTTTCGACATCTGAACGTCCAAAAGCGGTCCGAACCCCTGATGTTTTTACCATGTTGACTTCGAAATGTCCTTCGCGCCACAATGGCGTGCACTTTTTCGACATTGCAACTTCCAAAAGTGGTCCGAGAATGGTGTGTCTTGTACATTTTGACTTCGAAATGTGCTTCGCGCCACAACGGCGTGCACTTTTTCGACATCTCAACTTCCAAAAGTGGTCCAAGAATGGTGTGCTTTGTACATTTTGACTTCGAAATGTGCTTCGCGCCACGGCGGCGTGCACTTTTTCGAAATCTCAACTTCCAAAAGCGGTCCGAGAATGCGGAAACCAACCCTTTCGCACGAAACGAGGTTCGAGTGTCAAAAACTGATGTGTTTTTTCGAATTTGGTTGGTCCGGCGGCAACCCTTTCGCACAAAATGAGGTCCGAGTGTCAAAAACTGAATTTTTTTTGCGAGTTTAGTTGGTCCGGCAGCAACCATTTCGCATGAAACGAGGTTCGAATGTCAAAAACTGATGGTTTTTTGCGAGTTTGGTTGGTCCGGCGGCAACCATTTCGCACGAAATGAGGCTCCAGTGTCAAAAGCTGCTGTTTTTTTGCGATTTTATATCCTCGGCGACAACCCTTTTGCACGAAGTGATGTTCCAGTGTCAAAATCTGATATTTTTTTGCGATTTGACATCCTCGGCGGCAACCCTTTCGAGTGTCAAAAACTGATGGTTTTTCCGGCTTTGGTTGGTCCGGCGGTAATGCTTTCCCCTTGTGTGTAAAAGTGTTTGTGTGTAGAAGCGTTTGTGTGTAAAAGCGTTTTTGTGAAAAAAACGTTTGTGTGTCAAACCGTTTGTGCGTCAAAGCGTGTGTGTGTAAAAGCGTCTCTGTGTAAAAGCGTTTGTGTGCAAACGTGTTTGTGTGTGAAGGGGGTTTGTGGCCAAAAGGGTCTGTGTGCAAACGTGTTTGTGTGTGAAGGGGGTTGTGGCCTCAAGGGTCTGTGTGTAAAAGCGTCTGTGTGTAAAAGTGTTTGTGTGCAAAAGGGTCTGTGTAAAAGCGTCTGTGTGTAAAAGTGTTTGTGTGTAAAAGGGTCTGTGTAAAAGCGTCTGTGTGTAAAAGTGTTTGTGTGTAAAAGTGTTGTGTGTAAAAGCGTTCGTGCGTAAAAGAGTTTGTGTGTAAAAGCGTTTGCGCGTAAACGTGTTTGTGTGTAAACGATGCGGGCTACCATAGGTAAAAACACTAGGGTCACCCCCCAAAATATTTTTTAGGATTTTTTAGGAATTAATCTGCTTCTAGTACAAAACCCACCTCAAAATATTTTTCAAAAACACTCTAACCCACCTCAAAATAATTTCCTTTGACACTACCCACCCCCCAAAAAAAAATTCTGAAAGGTTGCAAATAAAATATTTGGTAGGGTTCCACTATTACTCAAAAACACTTCCCTTACTTCAAAATAATTTTGGAAATTATTTCGAGGTGGTTTAAGATGGTTTTGGATGATTGAAAAAACAAGTAGAACCACCTCAAAATAATTAGCAAAAAAAACACAAAATTATTTTGGGGGGTCACCCTACCTCTCCTCTCGAATGCACCCGACAAGCACTAAACCACTTGGAGGTTGTGGCACAAATCAAATAAATCATCTAAACCGACCCCCTTTCACACCCACTACTGAACCACTTATTATTTAGACCATCGATTTTTGGACAAAAAAGTCTGAATTGACCCCTTCCTGCCCAATAAATTATTTTGGGGGTGGGGGTACCACCAGACCACCCCAGAAAAAATGATAGCCTAACCTGGCAAAATTAACTTCCCCTTGAATAGTTCAAAAATACTACATTCAACCAAATTGAATCCAAATTGAATCAAATTGACCCAAACTGTATCCAAATTGCCTCAAAGAGACAAACCCTGAGAATTACCATGAATTACTTACTGAACTATTTATTTTTTAGAACATCGACTTATCATCGACTTTTGGGCAAAGAAACCTGAATCGATTCCTCTCCCCAAAAAAATTATTTTGGGGGTGGGGGTACTACCAGACCACCCCAGAAAACAAAATAACCTAACCTTGCAAAACTCAACTTCCCCATGAAATAATTTTCATCCTGGGTGTCTGGTAATTATTTTATACAGTTGGGACTCTATGAAATAATTTCCCCAGTTCAACTGAGAAATTATTTTGAGGTGCCTTCGGTTGTTTGCTTAAAATTATTTCAAGGTGTTTCAACCTCTGTAGGTGGAAAATTATTTTGCACCATCATCGGGTTACGGGTGCATAAATTATTTTGCTATGGTTCTTGTTCGCTGATGTTAACATAAAATTTATGTTGAAAATTGGAAATTATTTTAAAAATCCATAACCAACTCCCACCTCAAAATAATTTCCGAAGGTAGGACGCATTGTAAACGTGTTTGTGAATAAAAGAGTCGCCTTGTACTATGGAACGCAAGCCACCCCAACGGTTTCAAACTATGGAAAATTGTTAACAGCATGATATATTTCAAAATCAAGACGCCATGTAAACGCATGATTCGTGTATGTTTGGTTAAAATATATCCCGTTACAAAACGCATCTAATTCTAATGCTCAAAGTATAACAAGTACATACAAGTACATCTAAGAAATGTCATCTTTTGGACCAAAACACAATGTGAACGCATGATTCATGTATGTTTTGGTAACAAACCTATGGGGTTCTGATTTACATCTCAACCCAACATGTCTGCGACCAATTTCTGTGGCCAAATTGTGCTCTTCTTCAAACAAAGCATCAAATTCCCCAGCTGGCACATTTGAACTGCGCCCCCAGGTGGGTCTTAAGTCACGCGAACGAGGCCATAAAAACGATGCCAAAACGAGGCCCGAACGAGGCCAGAAAATAGCTTTGGAAACCCCTCAGCTTTGCAGCAGTTTACCACCAGCCCAGCAGCAAGTCTCTAGCAGGAGTCTAGAAGCAGTCTGGCAGCAGCTCAGCAGCAGTTTGCACGCTGCCCATGGTGATATCCGGCAGCCATTTAGCAGCATCCCAGCATCAGCCTGGCAGCAGGCCAGCATCCACTGTAATTAGATGAATCGATGCAACTACTCAAGAAAGGCCCCCCCCGGCAGGGCGACATGTAAACACTTGCTCGACGGTCACATGAATGAGCCAGGCATGACAAAAAAAACAAGTTCACAAGTGTAAACAAAAGCAAAATAAAAACATGTTTACTTGTAAAGCATCGTTTTCTATCTTATGCAACTGCTCCACAGCAACTAAACGAATGTTGGGGCACGTTGGGGCGACTTTCCCGGGAAGCCCCCCCCAACTAAACGCGAGATTTCGGATCGGGCGGGGGAAGCGAGTAAAAGCGTTTGTGTAAAAGCATCTGTGTGTAGAAGTGTTTGTGTACAAGTGTTGGTGTGGTAAAGAATCTGCGTGTAAAAGCGTTTGCGTGTAAGTGTGTTTGTGTGTGTGAAAGGGGTGTGCGTGTAAAAGGGTTTGTGTGCAAAAGTGTCTGTCACTGTGTGTAAAAGCATCGGCGTGCAAAAGGGATTGTGGGCGAAATGGTTTGTAAAAGCAACTGTGGTGTGTGTGTGTGTGTGAAGGGGTTTCTTTGTAAAAGTGTTGGTGTGCAAAAGCGTCTTTGAGTAAAGGGGCTTGTGTGTAAAAGTGTGTCTGTGTAAAAGTGATTCTGTAGAAAAGCGTCTGTATGTAAAAGCCGCGGTGTGTAAAAGCAGCTGTGTGTGTAACAGGGATCATGTGTGGCCTGCTTGAGACAGAGTCGTGTCCTGGCTGGAGTTGAGAGATGTGGCATGTTTAGCAATTCTTGCACATGCTTGGCTCTGGGTGTCATGTTTGAATACTTTTAGGTTAGATTTGTGGCTTGGCTGGGAGTGACGTATGTGGCATGTTGTGACCTGTTTCTCTGTGTCCTCTACGCTCTCGGGCCATCCGTCGTCTAGTGTTCCTTTCATTTGTATTCATTTCCCTTCATTTTCCTTTCCTATTCCCGTCATGTTCATTCCAATGCAATGTGCACTTATGTCCTTTCATCTTCCTTTCTAAAGTTATGAAAATGGCTTTGTGGCTTGGCCAGGGGACCGAGTGCAACAAATGGTTATCGCTAAGTTATCGCTGAGGTTATCGCTAAAGAAAGAAAGAACGAAAGAAAGAAGAAAAATGACAATAGCCAAAGAACAGAAAAGAGAATTAGAAGACAAAGATAAAAGAAAGAACGAGAACGAACAAGACCAAACCCGACCCCAGAAGAGAAAGAAAGAAAGAACGAAAGAAAGAAGAAAGAAAGAAAGAAAGAAAGAGAGCGAGCGAGTTCGATGCCAAATGATATGGCAACTGCAGGAAACAGAGCACCACAGGTTGAATTTCTCTCATCGGTTTTGCCCGTTCTGTGAATGTGCATAAAAGTATTTGCTTGGTTTACGCCAAGTTTCATGGACTGCCGTGTATGGTCCCAGGTTGTCGCTTTTGGGGGGGTGTTTCGTGCGCATCTCTGATAAAAAAAACTCCTGCAATATCCTGCAATACTAAAGTGGTCTTCAACCATTTTGACCGTGACTCGTCATATGAAAGCACACTTTCGAGAATCCCAAGGTCTTTGCGGAAGAAGTGGAACTGCACGAAGAGGATCCAGCAAAGTTGGCTGAGCAACGTCAGGTGTGGCCGACGGCTTGCTGCCACTGTTTCAACATGTCTCAAGCATGGAGCCAGTGGGCAAAATAAGCAAAATAGCGCCAAAGACCTCACCCGAATTAAGATGAATTAAGATCTTTCCGCGAAATGGTGCGGCCCATAGTGGACCATGCAATACCACTACATCATGGGGTCGTCTGAGGTCAGCATGCAAACATGCACTCGGTGCATACGGAAAACCATTTGCCAGCACCACTACGGTCAACATGTAAGAAAGCGAAATGGCAATCAACAACATGAGGGAGTTCATGAGGAGAAAAAAACTTTGTGCACTGCCTTCTCCGCCAATCTGTGCTCTGGATCGCACTCTGCAGACTCCGGAAATGCCACGTAAGTCCTGAAGCAAAAAAGTTCAATGACTCAGTGAGTTCAAGGAAACCACTTGCCTCTGTGAACTGCTGGGGGCCCTGAAGCGCTTTGAACAAAATGTGTTTGGCATCAGTGCGCTGCCGCGATGGGCTTCTTTGCAACAAGAGCAAGTTTCACAACTCGGTCAATGCCGTCGGAATGCAGTGTTCCCCTCTTTCTCTCTCTTTGTCTCTATCTCTATCTCTATGCCACTGTCTATCACTATCTCTATGTCTATCACTATCACTATCACTACCTCTCTCTCTCTCTCTCTCGCTCTCGCTCTGCGCCAGACTGGCTTCAACCGCCCCACACTGTTAAGTGCTTGTCAGTTTGTTCTTTGGACTGAGCCAAACCAAACCTAGCCATGTGATGCCTTCATCACCTCTGTTGCAAACCCAATTTCTGTGCAAATATGTGCGCATATCATGCCCAATAAATTCATGAAAAAGTCTCAACCTAAAGAGAACAATTCAGCAAAAGAGAACGCTTCACCAAAACAGGGAGGCATTATGATCCATTCTCCTGACCTGCTAAAGTATGTCCATGCACGACCATTACAATCTGTGACAAAAATTCATGAAATTATAACCAATTATGAACATTTATATTCTCCGCATTGTATGTCTGTGCATGACAGAGGGGATCGTAATGGATCGGAGAAGCATATTACAAAAATGCACAGTGGTAACATGCGGCCAGGAATGGTACGCCTGCAATCCGTCGAAGGAATCAACAGAGAGAGCGCCTCAACTTTCCGGCTGGAAGCAAGATGAGTCAACCCTTCTCAACACAAACCAATGACGATGCGCAAACATCTCTCAGCTGACGACGTCATGAGCTGGAGGCAGTAGGCATGAATCCTTCCGGGCAACACCAGACAACCACTTCTCATTGCCAATTTCTGCGAGACAGGGCGGTTGCTCGATACTGGTCGCGGTAGCAAATGAATCCCCCTGTGAATTAAGGGGATGGGGTTGCGCAACCATTTTGTAGTGAAGAAACGGTTTGCATAGCCTCAATCTCTACTGAATGGATGTGCATGCATGATCGAATTTCACTACTAAATGTGGGCCCCTGGTTCAGCTGAAGTGCAAAATTTGGATATATTTTCAGAGTGTCTTAAAACACCAACATGACTCGACCAAACACCCTGCTCCATTTAGTAGAGGTACTCATTTGATCACAAGTTGGAGGACAAACATGACTCGACCAAAACCCCAAAGCCATTTAGTAGATAAATACAGGGGGTAGATTTAGTAGAGAAAACAAAGATTTAGCCCTATTTATATTTATGGATCAATTGGGTGAATCATGCATGATGAGGATTGGTCGCTTGATGAGCGGTTTCCTTCCTGGGCCGCAGACTTCCTTTTGGGTCAAGTTGAAAACATTTGGCTCCTGCCATTGTTTTTCCATGTTTTTCCATGCTTTTCCTAGTCTGGAATTCTTTGGGCTGTGGTTTTCCATTTAGTTGAGGGGGGCTAGTCAAAAGACCTGTCATATCCATTCATATCCTTTTCTTTGGATTTCCTTGATTTTCATTGGTTTTCTGTTTCTCCATAACCTGTGCTGCCTTTCGCTTGGCAGGGGAAAGTTGTTCCACCTGCTGCTAGCAAAGGAAAAGGAAAGGGAAATCAGAAAGACCAGGAGGCAGGGTGGATGCAGCCCCGTCTGGGGGGTGTGATAAGAGCGGAAAAGATTACAGACCCCATCACCATCACTACAGAATGGTTTTGCATAGCCTTTTGTGGAATTAACTGGTTAGTACCCAAAGATACCCATAGGAATGCATTAACAACTGTTGTAGGTTGTGATTCATTTGGATCCTCGGATCCTTTTGGGTCAAGCTGAAAACATTTGGCTCGCGTCATTGTTTTTCCATGTTTTTCCTAGTCTGGAGTTCTTTGGGCTGTAGTTTTCCATTTAGTATAGGGAGGCTAGTCAAAAGACCTGTCATATCCATTCATATCCTTTTCTTTGGATTTCCTTGATTTTCATTGGTTTTCTGTTTCTCCATAACCTGTGCTGCCTTTCGCTTGGCAGGGGGAAGTTGTTCCACCTGCTGCTAGCAAAGGAAAAGGAAAGGGAAATCAGAAAGACCAGGAGGCAGGGTGGATGTCTGAATGGGTGTGATAAGAGTGGAAAGGATTACCGACCCCAATCACTACAGAATGGTTTTGCATAGCCTTTTGTGGAATCCACGGGTCAAAACCCAAAGAAACCCATAGAAATCCATTATAGAGAGGGAGAGAGACAAAGAGAGAGAGAGAGAGGCAGATATATAATGATAATTAATTTATGATATAATATATATATATGTATACACATAATCATATATATATACACATAATCATATATACATACACACCCACATTTAGTTATTTTTACAATTATACATATATACATATATTCAATTTCAATTTGGAATGATTTAGATATATTTAGGTAAATTTAGTTATAGATGTGTTTGATCCTATTTGGTTCCATTTGGTTCCTGTAAGGGTTTTTTTCCTAGTCTGGAGTTCTCTGGGCTGTGGCTTTCCATTTAGTAGAGGTGGGTTAGTTAAAAGGGATGCAAAGGCATGCATGAGTAGACATCGTGCTTGGGTTCTTTTCGCTTTTTCAGGGGCGATGCCAAATCCCTCGCTTGGGTGCCCCGTTGGTTAGTTAAAAGGGAGGCAAAAGCATGCATGAGAGACATCCTGTCCTTTGGATTCCCTATTGTTTTAATTTGGCACCCTCATCCTTTTCTTTCCCTCCACAGCCTGGCCCTTTTGCTTGACAGGAGACGGAATCTCTTCCATCTGCTGTCCATCCAGGGCCCATCCAGGAAGACAAGGACGGGGGGATGATGGGTGATTCAGTCCCGTCTGGGGCCACGGTATGGGGGTGTGATAAGGGTGGAAAAAGGCTACAGACCCCACCACTATGGTTCTGCATAGCCTTTTGTGGAATCCACAGGTCACAACCCAAAAAAAAACATAGAAATCCATTATAGAGAGAGAGAGAGACAGAGAGAGAGAGAGAGACAGAGAGAGAGAGAGAGAGAGCCAGATATATAATGATAATTAATGATATATATATATATACACACATAATAATATATATATATACACATAACAATATATATATACACACATTTAGTTATTTTTACACTTATACATATATATATATATATTCAATTTCAATTTGGAATGATTTAGATATATTTAGGTAGAGGTAGGTTGGTTAAAAGGAAGGCAAAGGCATGCATGAGTAGATAAAATCCAGGGGGTAAATTCATTTATATAGCCCTATTTACATTTATTTTTCAATTTTCTTTTTTTGAACTACCTGGATTGACGTGATTCATCCTGATGGACATGGATTGGCCAAACGGCTATCGGGGGCAACGGAATGGGAATCTCTACTAAATGGTTTTCAGTTTTGTCTCATTTCATTGTGACCGTTTTATGAGCTCTACTTTGCAACCTCTACAAAATGGTTTCTGTGATTTTGAAACATTTTTTTGACATCTCTACTAAATGGTTTTATCCAAAAAACCAGATTTGACATCATATGATAAACATATCTTTACCTCTCTACTAAATGTGGATCATGGGTCTAGAGATGTTTATATAGTAAACAGCTGGCACATAGAATATTAAAAATAAATAGGTGCCACTAAGAATATGGAAAATGCATAGCAAAACCTATTCCTGGAATGTCATCAACATAGAATATTTATCCACATAGAATATGGGGGTATATATATATATATACCTTATCAAAATCTCAAGACTCTCCCAGCAAATCGTTGATCAGTGAAATCTAAAGTAAACAGCGCGGACATCGCCATGCAAAATGATGGTTTGATTCATGATCAAATCAGCACATCTTTACAAGGTTTATATTCTATGTGCATCGTCTGTGGATATGCACTTAGAATATTGTTTTCACCCAGGAAAATCATGTAACTAATAGACATATTCGGAAAAAACAATGATTAATATTCTAAGTGCTAGCCGGTTACTATACTTGATCTTTTTGAAAAATCATCATTCTCTACTAAATGGTTTCTAGAAAATTCACACTAAATTTTTGGTTCACTTTCCGGGGCCTAGGTCATAGCATTTAGTAGTGGAAGTCCACCGGGGGATGCAAATGAATCAAATATCTGAACAAAACAACAAAGACAAAGGACCGCCCTCTTGGCGAAGGATTCAACAACTACTATGTAGGTGCATCAAAACATATTCGGATCAGATGAAATCAGGATCAATAGATATCAATAGAAAATATTGAAAACATCAACCACATATTCTGCTGGAACCTATTATTTTGTATGAACCTTGCAAAATGGAGCTGACAAATGTTTTTGCTTCTGCTTGTAGCAGCGCGCGCAGCACAGCCTGCACAGCAGCTTGGACAGCACCCTGCTAAGCACCCTACACAGCAGCCTGCACAGCACCATTGCCAGACTTCGCCACCGCACCTTGCACAGCAGCCTTCACAGCAAACTTCCCTCAACCTCCATTACCAGACAACACCGTGCACAGCACCCTGCACAGCACCTTTGCCAGACTTCGCCACAGCACTCTGGACAGCACGTTGCACAACACCGTGCACAGCACCTTGGAATGACTTCGCTACCGCACTCTGGACAGCACCGTGCACAGCACCCTGCAGAGCACCCTGCAGAGCACCTTTGCCACATTTCACCACCGCACTGTGGAAAGCACTGTGCACAGCACGTGTACAACCACTTTGAAAGAAGCATCTCTCCAATCATTATTACTGTACACTGTGTATGCTGCGTATGTATGTATATGTATGTGCTATCTTTATATTTATAATGTACATACACACTACACAAACATTCACAATATATATATATGAATATATATATATAAGTATATATATAAGTATTTAAATGAATAAAACAATATGTTAAAATAAAAATATAATTATATAAGTATATATATATGTATATATATATATATGTATATATATATATATACAAATATATATATATATGTATATATATATATATTTTTATATATATACAAATATATATATATATATACAAATATATATATATGTATATATATAAGTATATATGTATATATATATATAAGAATATAAAATAAATAAAAATAAATGTATAAATAAATAAAAAACGGTACAATCACCCAGAATGGATGGCTCAACTCAAATAACAAAATGCCCATAAGATGGCACCGTGCGGTGAGGAAGAAAACGGCGCTATTTTAGTTGGAGCATAAAACGCGTTGCGCCATCTACGTGGCTTGTCAAAGATCCAATTGATGAAAAAATAGCGCCAAAATAGGGCATGTTGGATGACAAATTTACTTTAAAATGAAAAGGTAGATGGCGCAACTGCCACTCCAGTAGATGGACATAAGGGTATTGTTATCACTAACTTATGAACAAGGTCCAGATAGTAAGGGTTTAGATAGTAGGGGTCTGGTGTTCAAAGCTTTCAGAATTGATACCCCCATCTTGAGAAGAGCAAAGCAAAATTTAGTAATAAATAGGCAAACTTTAAAATTAGATAGGCAAATCTTGAGTAGGACTACATTTTTCCAAGGGGCAGGCCGCAATGCTACGGAAATTAAACCAAAGATTTGCTTATTTTGCCTGTGCTTACCCTGAACGAGGATACTGCGTTCATTGTGATGTCTTGGGGGTGATATTTAGGGAAGGTGATATGAGTGCGGGCGCCCTTGTGTTTGTATAGTTTCAAACAAAACGGAGGAAATGACATGCTTGGTTGACCTTCCAAGATCTGATGCGCAATAAGTCAATTTAATTTCAATTGACTCAAATGTCTCAAGCTGTCATTGACAGCATGAAGTGTCAATTGCGTCAGTTGACAAAATTGAACCTGTCTGCAAATGACTCCAAAACCCAAAACCCTGCTGTGAATTCCAAAAAACTGATTGTCAATGTTGCTAAATGATTCAGACTGACTGGCAGGGCCCAGGCTGCCACCTGTTAAGAATGGCAAACATAAGCAAACAAGCCAATCAATCATACAAACACATCCCCAACAAAAAGCACACCACACTGCGCGCAACGCAAAGCAATTTTAAACCAGGTGCAGTCGGTGCAGTTGAGTCTGCCCAAGCCCCCAAGCTGACAACATGTTGCCGCTTCTCCCCCATGAGCTGCCGCCCCAAGAAGATCTGATTTGATCAAAAATCAAGGCAACCGCTGAGCCAAATTCAGCAGTGTAGCGCAACCCATCATCACGCCATGACCTCTCATCATCAAAGGGTTCATGCCATCAATGCCATTGACTCCCATCAGGCCCATCATCATCATAGGATGCGCGCCAGCGCCACCACCACCACCATTGCCAAACGCTTGCTGCAATGTGCGCTGCCTCTTTGCTGCTTGAAGCACAGGCATGAGCTCAACAACTGACACAATTGACGCGCTTGATCAATATTGACACAAACGGCCGCTAATCTCCAAAATGACTGCCCCGCATCATAGCCACATGCAGACTGGCATCGCTGTATCTCGTGCTTGTATGGCATCAATGTGTCAGATTCATTGTGTTTGAGTTCACACGTGTTTCGCCCATTTTTTATTTTACATATGCCAATGTTCTTGTGTTTTTTAATATTGTAATCTACCCACGTGTCCTCACTATGTCTCAATATGTCTCAAAATGTCTCAATTTGCACTTTTGAGCAATTTGAGCAATTTTGAGCAATTTTGAGCTGATCTGGGCGCAACAAAATTTGATTAATTTTGAGCAATCTTGAACAATTTCGAGCAATTTCGAGCAATTTTGAGCAATTTTGAGCTGATCTGGGTGCAACAAATTGAGTTAATCAATTTATCTACTATCTAAAAACCTCTACGATCTGAACCCCTACGATCTGGACCCGGTTTGAAAATTAATGAAATTAATTTTGAGCAATTTATTGTTTCATTAACGTCACTGGCCCAACTTCTTCTTCGCAGCCAGCAACTCAGTCTTCAATCCTCACATGAATTTTGTCGACTCTTCAGTCAGGACATCCAGCCTCTTCAGCAGCTGCTTGCTTGCGCAGGATCACGCCGCGCAGTCATCGCAGACAAGTTGCAGAGCAATGACAGCGCACAACGTAATTCACAGTGGCTGCAAACCAGTCAAATTCAACAAAATTATCTGTCAAATCCTTGATTCATCCTGCAAGTCGCCAGTGTTTCTCTGAGAGTCCGACAAAGTCAATCAAGATAAACAAGTCTAAGAAATCAACAACTCAAGGGATAGAAGTGACATTTGAACATTTGAAACAGTCACTGGACCAAGCGTTTTAAAAAGTGCACAGCGCAAGTCTGTCACACACTAGATTAGAATGGATCATTATATGATCCGGCAGGAACTGAATCCTGAAACATGCAGATTAGATACGAAACAAAGAAATTAACGATGCATCCTACGAATAATAGAAGTTCTCCTGAGTGATTTCCATGTCCAAGAGCGTCATCAAAAAATACATCGGCGACCTGGTTTTGACAAAATAATCCAAATACATCGGCGACATGGTTCGGCGAAATACTCCAAAAAATCAAAAATACTGTCGGCGACATGGTTCGGCGAAAATACTGAGGAAGGTTCTGATGCAGCTGAACTAATTGTAAATGACCAACATTGATTCCAGATTGCGACAACAGTGCAGCAACAGGACAGCTTGTTCAACAGTTCAAACCAAATTCTGCAGGTACACAGAGTTGATCAGACTCTGCTTCCAGCACAAGTGGATAGCTTCGTTGGGTGCAGTCTCCACTGTGCTCTGCACCCCCCTGCTACTAGGTTTAAAAAGGGAGAGGACAGAAGGAAGAAAAAGAGAGAAGTTTTACATCTATGTCTATTAAGATGTTACACACACACACACCCGGCCAGAGCCGGGTCAACCCCGAAAGGCAAGAGGAAGAAAAAAGCGGACACACGAAGGGCAAACGGCCAAAAACAGCGCAGGGGGGGGAGGGGAACAGACGGACCTCCGGAACCAACC